ATCCATTCATTTGTTTTCGAATGCATCATATGAGGACTTCTCCAGTCCCCTACTCGTCCAAGTGGCTGGAAGAACACCAGTTAAACATGTTTCAACATGTTTCTACTGTTGAATGGATTGGGATGGGACTCCTGCATTGGAATGGGACTCCTGCATTGGGATGGGACTCCTGCATTGGGATGGGACTCCTGCATTGGGATGGGACTCCTGCCACACCACACCACAATCTCTCACTTTCGACCAGTCTAAGCAGATCCAGTCGCTCTATCCTCGCCTCTGGTGGTGCCACCGACCGGGTGACGCAGAATGCAGCCCCCCCGGCGGTGCCTTTTGTTGTATGTTGTTTCTGTTTCAGGAGAACTAGTTTGTTCATTTTTGTTCGAACTATACCACGAACGAAACCATGTTGGAGAGCAGAAGCACCTGTAAATGCAATTAGAATATGGAGAGATCCAAAACCACAATCAATAGGATTGCTTCATACTCTATCTACTGCTTCGACAATCTTAGATATTAATATGCCACGCAAAAAAGGGTTGAACCAGCAACCAGCCCTCTCGCCCCCGGTGCAGCTAGACACGCCGTTTCCAGGTATTTGACCTTCCTCCAAAGCGTGGTGGATCGCCATGGCGCGCGCTTTGAACCAGGCGGACGGACGAGCGTCGGCGACGGGAAGCGTCGTTGGGACGAAGAAACGCTGAGGTCCTGAGACGCTGAAGAATCAGGATCAAACAACTTTTAGCGAAAGACATGGTGCGGAAAAAGATCGGGTGATGCTCGATCTGGGTGATGTTTTCACACCCACGCGAGATCGGGTCCGAGAAATGTGTGGCAAGAGTTGATGATGTTGATGTTCGCTGAGCTTGGTATAAGCTCCTGTTCTTCATTGACTGATCCTGGGTGGGGGATATAACCCGATAGAATCCCAAATAGATATCCAACATTGTTAAACAACATCCAACAACTATAGCAGACTATACATATCTATACATACAATCAGATATAATATGTGTATGCATATTTTTATGGTCCCTCAATAGACTCTCGCATTAATGTTCTGGCTTTTCACTGAGTCACGGCCGCCAAGGCCAGTTGACAGGTAGTGTCACAGCTCCTGATTGAAAACAAGAAGTAGGGCAAACGCAAAATCTATACCTGCGTAGCGAGAACTTGAGAAGCAGGGCTGGGCTCAGAGGAGGCAGGCGATCACTAGTCTTTATAAACAACCTGCATGTTGATGGGATCACAGTATATCGTCCAATGTGTTGCTGGTGATAATGGTGACGTGGCCTGGACCAATCCGGACAAGAGGGAGCTTTGCGGACAGAGCCATACGTGCTACCTGCATTATAGCTACATATATATATATATAGTAAAATACAAATTGACAAGAGTTTGTGCTATCAGTTTGGATCATAGATCGTTTTACCTTATTTATCAGTGTTCACCCCTGCTCTTATGCGATATCTACCAGTTTCTGCCAGCCCAAATTCTTCGACTTACATATGTTGTGGTCGAACCACACGAGACCAGTCGAACCTGTTCGGCACCGGTCCAACCGCCCAGGCCTCACCCGTTCGGATGGAGGGAAGGAGGAGCTGGCCACGAATCTTGGTCGCAACGGAGCTGCCTCACCCGCCGAGCTAGACAGCGATGCCGAAGAGGAAGAAGTATCGATGTTGACCCTGAATTGGGGGGTATCGGTGTCCCCAAGATGAGTTGCAAGAAGGTTAACCATGTTGGCCTGAAGTTCCAGACAAACTGAAGGGCCCAGAAAGGGTCTGCGGGAGGCAGACATGCTGACAAGGACATTTTAGCTCATTTGGCTGGGTCCACAACTATAGTTGCATCCTACAGTTACCTACTGGCAACCACTCACTTTGGCAGAAATCCCAGTTACGAAACTCATTGCTGGATCCCCAACTGAACAAATAGCAATTCAAACTACTCCTTTTCACTGTTCAATCGCGTGGAACTCGAGGACCTTCGTGGTGGTGGCCGACCCAAGGACTGCCGTCCGCTTGGGGGCTTTGGAGGACTGGGACCTGTCCGACGTCCGGAGCGGTTTGGATCAGATTGATTCAGCTCGGGTTGATGGAGTCGATAGACTTCGTTTATATCTTTATATATATATATATATCAGTCAAAAAGATAGAAGTGTTCACAAGGCCACCGAACAGCAAGGGAAAAAGGTGGTTTTGGGCAGAACCAAAGGAAGTGTCACTAGTAGAAAAGATGCAAGAAAGGAAGCTTGAATCATTGTTAACCCAGTCAGCCTGAAGGAAGTATTGATGTGTCTTAAAGCTTTTCAAGCAGTTCGGTGTGTCATACCATATACAGTAACTGTACCGCAGGCGCTAGAACAATTTGTTTGGCCAAGAGGCATTTGCTTCGTAGAATCCAGGGTAGAAGGATTGGTTCCTTCAGCGGTCATTCTGGTACATCAACATGTCCTCAAGGATTTAAAACGAATTCCACAGGAGCAAGAGACTGCTGGAAATGTCACTACTCCCAAAACAACGTCTAGAGCCGGGGGAATAGCTCCTGCCTATGTGGTGTGTGTTGCTTGCGCTCATGACGTGCCACGGTCCCAGATTCATCCCTTCCGCAGCGCGCCTTTTTGGTCGTCGTCGTTGGCAGGGTCCCCCAACGCGTGGCTTCTTTGCTATCGAGCTGGAGAGGCTACAGAGCGCCTGTCGCTCAGTCCCGAGGTCGAAACCTTTGGGCGGCAGTTCTTGATTGAAAACAGGAAGAGTCATTGATGGCAGTGCAACCGCAAGTAAGATGGGAACAGACCAGAAGAATGTGGAATGAGGCTGAAAGGTTCAGAGTAGATGGGAAACAGGCATCCGAAAGACTGGATAGACAAGGACCGAAAACGGTTGTTCTGCCCGGCACAATGCCCCGCTCCGGGCGAGGCCCCACAGGCCCCGCCGCCCCAGGACGCAGAACGGAATTGGTTCCAAAGTGGGGGCGCCTCCCAGCTACCCCACAGGATCCAGGCAGTTCCCACGAACGTTCGTACCTGGACCTTCTCAAGAGGTGTCCTGTCTGGAGGTCCCTTAGTGGTGGGCTGGGGCGAAACCAGGTGACCCCGAACTGAAGGTGCTGGTAGGTCACCGGTTCCCAAGACTTGAAATCGGCCGCCCTCGTTCCTCAACTGGGATTAATTGGGCACCTGTTGCTGGTGGAGCTTGTAGGAGAAAAAAAGAATCAGGATTTTCATGGTTCTCACATTTTTTTCTCACAAAGGAGAATGGTCTTTGAAGTGGTCAAGACTTGTCACAACTGCAATGGACTGATCACTTACTTTGTGAGTTTTTCTGTCAATGGGCGAAGCTCCTCCTTCACGCTCCTGAGACTTCCGACAAACTGTAAATGTTCGTGGGGCCGATTCCCAAAACCCTATGAGGCCTATGAGACCTGCAAAGGTTAGATTGGCATGTCTAAATCATTCCCGGTCTCTGCAGTTCAAAATTTAACGTTCTCTCTCTCTCTCTCTCTCGGCTTTGCTACTAGGAGCAAGGACGCTACTAGGGGCTCCTGGCCGTACTACTAGGAACAAGAAGCTACTAGGGGCTCCTGGCCGTACTACTAGGAACAAGAAGCTACTAGGGGCTCCTGGCCGTACTACTAGGAACAAGAAGCTACTAGGGGCTCCTGGCATCGCTACTAGGAGGGATGCTACTAGGGAAAAGACCTCCATTTGCCACCCCGACGCATGACCCATGAAGGTCATCCACCGGGCGGTGCGTGCGGTCGGCAGGAGCCTTTCGGCTTTCCCTTGCCAGACGAGAAGGGGCCCTACTTGTGCACCCAGGGAGTAGGAGGACACTTGACACATTTCTTTCCAGTGCCTCGACTACCTCGATGGGATTGGGGATGTCGTTGAGAGTGGGAAGGCTCAGCGAAACACTTCAAGGACATGTGTTTGGAAAGGGTTAATTCCTCTAATTATACATATATATATATATTCCTCATGACTCTTTGCAAAAGAGGTTCTCATCACACACACACACAAGTCGACCAAAAGAACTATAGGTATTTGTTGTTGGTTCCTGAAACTGGTTGCTACTTCTTACGCGCCACATGAAATCAGGGCTGGCAAAAGGGTATCTCTTGTATGTTTGGAATGAAGATAATCAAAGTTTATGGAACGCTCAAAGGATTTGGCCCGGTCAAAACATCTTCTCCACGTCCTCGCGGGTCGCTCTCCACCAGTTTCGCCAGCCACCAAGGAGAGCTACCATGCGATCGATCTGCGATGTGCCAACCACACCCCAGTGCTCAGCACCACGGATTTGCGATGAAACCTTTGCTTTGGTGAAAATGGACGAAAATGTATCGAATTGCAAATGTATCCTTGCAAGCAAGCAACTCCAACTCTCCAAGTGAACCTTACTGCAGAGTATGTCGCAGAAACCCCACAACTTGGCAACGTCCCTTTCCAGACAACGATCGACCTTCACCTCAGTGGAATGATCAGGGAGGACAGCACCCCTTGGGCGTTCCTCGGAAAAAACGATCTGCCAAGGCATTGGGGCTGGGGTTGTCAAGGAGATCTGCCAGTCACACAAGCACCTCGGAGAAAATGAGAGTGGGTGAGAGTGCGATGGAGCTTCGGGGTGCGAAGGATGGGTTTGGGAACAGGTAGTGGTGTCCAAAATGATCAAAACCGCAGGTGAGTGGTATCTAAAAAAGCAAGATGTGCATATGTAGTGGGCGATCCCAGCGGACCAGGTTATTTTTTGTGACTCAGGTGATGAGGATCTTGACACGTCTATCCCAAATCAAGGACAAAAAGAGTGTCAAACCAGGCATCAAAAAGTTCCACCGTAGCCTTGTGTCTCGAACTCATGGTTTGCTACATGGCTGGAGACGTGTTTGAGTGGAGCCACTAAGTGAAAGATGTTCTGCTTTGAAGCTGGCGGTCGGAAGCTCCTGGAAGCACCGACAAAATGGATCCTTCAGGACAAACACCGGCGCAAGGAGGATCAAGGGGCTCCCCGTTGCGGGGTGCAAACGGGGACAAGTTGCAGCCCAAAAGTACGCTCTGTGGCTCGTTTCAAAAATATCTTGAAACCTGTCAAAAGGCAGCGCCTCACAGATGCGTTGAAGAAGCAAGTCTCAGACTGGTTCCAGGACTTTCCTGAGGTGCTTTCTGGAGAGCGAAAAGGCTCGGGGAACATGGTTCCAAATTCCATGCGTTTCCCATGTGTTTTTCCCATTGCGTTTTCCTTCTGTGTTGCCTAAGTTCTTCCATATCCATTTCACTTCCTGCCTAGGCCTGCTAGTCAAAGGGGCCACGTCCGTCCGGTCGATGGCATCCAGGTGTGGCGGCATCCATGCAGCGAATTTGGCCAAGTGGAACTCCATCTCGGTGGGGAGGGACCTGGGGGATTCATGGATTTTGTTGGATGACGTTGGAGAATACATTTGTTTGAGGGGAGAAGACATTTGCAAAGATTGGAGTGGAAGTCTTGAAAAAGTAACACCTGCAGTCCACAGAGTTTCACCCTTTGTGTCCTTCACCTCTTTAGCTTTGGCTTCTTTCACTCCGGTGGGCGCCAGAGGTGCTCCTCTCCTGCGGTCTCATCGTGGACTATTTGCACGTCATGCCGGGCTGTGCGCAAGTGCAGGCATCGGAAGGGAGGCTTTTCCGTGCTGAGCGCTAGCGCTAGCGCGGCCCAAGCAGTGCTGAGTAGTCTGTAGGTCGTCATTTGCTTTGGCAAGTCCCTCGGAGTTGAGGACACTTCGAAGTCAGGAAGGTGTTTAAATCACTAAGCTGGCGGCTGTTTAAATCCGGATCTTTGACTCAAATAGGACCTGTCAAGGCGCCGCGAATATCCGCGAATGAAATTCAAGCTCTCCTCGGGTACATCTCTTGACCGGGTCCAAGTTCGGAGGCACAGTTGGGACGGGGACACCCAAAAACCACCAACCTCAGATCGACATGGACGGGATAACCCCAGGATTTAACTGTCCTACAATGTTTTCCTCAGAAACGGAACAGCTGACCAGATCTGTGATTTCTTCGGTTCCAAATTAGATGCCAGGACAAAAGCATACCAAAGCCTTCTAAAATGTCATTGCAAAAGAGTCAAATCTTTGCTCTCTATCCTGCTGTTTCATCCTTTTTCTCCGCGACTTTGAACATCTTTGAGCCAGTCCAATCACTTCCATCGATCACCGGCATCCCATCACTTGGCACCCTCGGTCACCCCGGTCCACCCCGACCCAACGGAGGTGGGCGACCACGTGCAGTGCGGCCAAGTCCTCGGGGAGTCCGGCGACATCGGCTTCGCGCCCGAGCCGCGCCTGGGCGAAGACGAAGGTTGGCCCGTTTGGTCGGCGTGGGTTTCGGTGGTGACGGTGTTTGGTGCTTGATTTTTAGTGTTTCGGGGCGGGTGTTGCACGGGTGTTGTAGAAGCAAGGGTTTTTTGGACTTGATACAGAGATGGAGAGAATTTCGCTTCACATCCTGCATTACATATAGTGCATTCCTTTCAGCAGGGTGTTGTACATCTCAGATGCATTCCATCACGTGCACACCTGGTCCAGAGGGTCCCGATGGTCCAACTCTGTGGGTCCGGAGGTGGGAGTCCGCATGGTGAGCTAGAATTGACAAGGTGCGTTAGACTGGGCACAAGGTGTTCTGGATGATCATGAACGATGCCACCTATAGTGGTCCACATGGCTGGAAGGAAGTCTCAAGATTAGCAAGCAGCGGAACATCTAATCTAGACCCCGAGTGCACAGGTTCAACAACTGCAAAGCAAGCAAACCTGAAAATTTGTCCGAGATCGAGCTTAACTTGCAGGGGAAATTCCGGAGAATTCCCCTCATCATCGACAGTGGTCTCATCATCGGCCGCGCTGGGCGGGAGACGCCTTTCCGAGGCACCTGCATGTGGAGGTGCATCGCTCCGACGACCCGGAGGGCCCCTCCGTGCCTGTGCGCTTTGGCGCCTCCGGCCCGGCACCCAGGTGGTAGGAAGAGAGGTGGCTGTGGGTCCAAACCCTGGAAACGCTGGAAACCCTGGTGCCCCGTTCGTAGCGTCCTTGCTCCTAGTAGTGATGCCTGGTGCCAGATCTGTAGCTGTAGAAGCCTTGCCAGAACTCCTTCCGCAAGAGCGTTGCCCCTGAACGCCTGGTCGATTCCTCCTTCAGTAGTCTAATTCTGTTCATGTTCGGTCAACCAATCGATCCCGCGGTGCCATGACCCACAGGAACGAACGAAGTGCCATGAGACGGGGAACCTCCTCCTCGTGGGTGTAGGTGAGATCAACTTAAAGAGAGAATCTAAGGAGGCAGGATTTGCGGCGAACCAGGCTCCGAAAGTGGTTGACTTCCAAACATGTGTTCAGATGCGAAGTTCAGATGCGAAGTTCAGATGCGAAAGGGCGGAAGATCCTGCCAATCTCGCATGTTATGTGTCTTAATGTGTTACGTAGAGTCATAGCCTGCGCCCAGAAACCTTACATATGACACTCGAATCCTTTGATGCTTCATTTTGCTCCAAGGCCAGCCGGAGATTGTGTTTGGTTTCTTTGTGTAACGTACAATGCCATGATAAATTGGCACACACCTATATATACTAGGTAGTATTGGGATGAGTTGTTGTTGTTATTCAAGTGTCATTGCCGATTCAAAAAGTGTTGGTCGAGCCTTGCTGCATGGGAGCAGTCATCATCGTCAAGAATTTTCTCAACAAAGACTGACTGACTTACTGTACCTGTTGCAATCACCTTCCGCAGATTGCGTCATCTTAAACCAAGAATATTTGCATACAACTACCCCGGTTTGAATACTAAAGCAGAAACTCAGCCTTCCCATGTCCCTCATCACAAACAGTGATTCCACTTTCAGGAACAAGACCGCAAAGTGTTCAACCCTTTCGAAACCTCCAATGCAGATGCTTTGTTGTGCTGGACTGGTCCTAGGCTTTGTCCCCGTGGCCGGCAGCTACTACATCTCCACTGGAGAAGTGCCAGCGCCACACAGCGAAGACATCTCGCCGACCTCCCGCGGCGCAGGTGGGACAAAAAACAGATCGATGCCAAGCAGCGAGTCCAAACAAAATCCATAACACCAAATTCCAAATGACGATCATTGAGGAGTTGTTCGAATGTTCGAGGCGACTGTACTCGTTTCATCTCGTTTCCGACCACCGTTCGAAAATGGCTTGGAAGCTCAGCTCGAAACCAACGGCTTCAGCTGCTTCAGCTGCTCCAGCTACCCAACTCAGCGACAGGCGTTCCCAGCATCTCCAAATCGCGGCGACGCTTGCAACGCCTGGAGCGGCAGAAGCGCTCCCAACGGCGGGAGCCGATGCGGAGACGGGAGGGGTGAAGCCATGACAAGGTTAAGGAGTTGGGTTTAGGCCATGTCAGACCTAGATGGCCTAGTGATGTTTTCAGATCACTTGGGAGGATTCAGCCAAGAGTCTAGGGGAGAGTAGGTCTCGCTTGGCCCTATTTTTTTTCATTACTCTTTTGCCTTTTGATGAGCTAGATTTTAGATCAAGGATGGTCAAGGTGCTCTCTATAAACCATTCGTTGGGTTCTTCGTTGCCGACATAGCAAAGGTCTCCATCGCGTCCCTCTGGTCCGTGGACGTCTCGCAGGTCCAGTCAAAGCAGTGATGCACAAAGCGTTGCTCGGACGAGGTTAGGGCTGGGGGAGCTTAAACCTGCGGGCTGGTGATTGCTGGGTTCCACCAAGAAAGGGTGAACAGGGTGTGTCGTGCAACGTGCAATGGGTGGCTGGATCACGAAGGACCAAAGTGTTGACCACTTCTTTGGGCTCCTGGGAGTATTTGATCGTCAGGAAATATAGGGAAGGGAGTGTTGGGCTGGGAGTGTGAAAAAGATCTGTTGAGCTATTCGGCAGGATGAACATCCACTAGGGTGATCATGAGCTTTTGTTTGCGTGTGATTGCACCCAAACACACATAGACAGTAGATCTTGAATATTGTTTTCCCGCTGTGGGCGAAAACTACTAGCCCACGGGACCACGAGTGATGATTTCTGTGCTCTTCAAACATCTTATCCAGGGTTTCTCCCAAGTTGTTTATCCTTCAAAAGTGAATTGAATGTGTGTTCACTTGGCCTTCCTATTGCTAGGGTGTGTCAAATAGCATACCTTGATACAAATCCATTAAATGACATATAGCACACTGTGCTTCTACATGAAATGTCCCAAAACCCTGCATGGGCACGACACACAGAACTTGTCCACAGGATACGGTCTTACAGATTTTACCATCTGGTGCCTTTTGACTGCCCCTGTCCACGCGGAGTTGGTGCTGCCCGCACTGACTGAGGCCCAAAGACAGCGGTGCGATTCGAAGAAAAAGCGGGCTCGCTGCCTTGACTGGTTCAGGAAATCCAAGGAGCTTCGCCGACAGCCGCAAAGGTTTGCTGGGTTTTGAGTAAGGGGCTTGTTTGTCCAGCAGTCAAGAAATATCAGGTGGAATCTTGAATCTGTGTGGCAAAAAAGTGATGAAGTCGTTTGTGTCAGGATCAGTAGGTTATCCCTTTGCAATCAAGAACCCGAGGCTGAGGATAAGCTCTACTCTATTCGGCCTTATTGCTTTAGTGAAAACACCAGAACATCCTTTCATGGATCTTTTGAAGGCTGGGGCACCGGTTTGCTGGGATCCCGGATTTCGCCATTGGCTCAGCTTGATCGCGCCACTTCGAGGCCTTGCTTGGCTCGTAGAACGAGTAACACAACGAAGTGGGACAAGTCCCCTTCTTCGAGCGGACAAGAGTCTCTCAAACGATTCCACGGTTCTGCAAAATTCACGAGAAAGTAGACATGGTAGATGGCCTACGTTCCAGGCCTTTGTTCCAACTCACAAAAAACACACACACACACAACACAACGTTGATGAACGATGAACTTCCTGGTGTTCATCGACCTGAAATGATGAACATTGGATTATCCACGGCCACCAATTCTTCGTTTTCACCTGTTGGTGGGTACCTGACCTGCAGCCTTACTCAACATGGGAGACTTCAATTGAGTGGTAGTGAATTCGCTATGACAATGCTTATGCCCGCTACGTTGAGGATTTGCTACTCCACAAAGAGTCCTTTTGCTGCAACATGAAGATACATTATATTGACATATACTCCCCACATTCACACGGATTTCGTCAGCTCTCAATTTTCCGCTGGGCTACCAACGCAGCACGTGTTTGACACGCCACGTTTTTGGGAATGGTGTGGGTCGGGAGACCTGGACGGTTTGCTTATGTTTCTTGTGTCTGAAAGGAATAAGAGTCTGCGATGTAGATAAATACATACAAACTGCTGTGGGCAGACCTGAGGCAACTCACTTTTCTATCCTTTTCTCAATTGGGCTAAGGTACAATGACTTTGTGAAAGACCGCAAGAAACACAGCGCTGCACCATTTGGGAACAGTGGTATCTAAAGTAGATTGGGTAATTTACATGTAATATACATGTATATACATGTATATACGGTGAGGACTTCGGCTAAGCCGCTCAGCTTTGCGGATCTGGGCGGTTTCAGGGACTTCAGGTCGCCCGCCTCCGTCCACGGTTGTTGGTTCGCCAGTTCGGCCGGTGCATTCCCGCTGGTTGGTTCGGGAGAAGTGACTGGTGCGACGAGGCCAAGGGAATAAGGAAATGAGCCCCCAATATATAGAGATTCCTGTTGGATCCAGCCACCCTCATTCCCTAATTACTAAGCACATGGGGTTCGGAAGCATCCTTCAAGATGGTCAGAAGGGGCCTCGACCCGTAGCGGCAACAAAGCGAGGAAAAGACGGCCCTACCCAAAGGCGAGATACAGCGAGATAGTAAATTCATGCAAAATTCTAGCGGGATCTAGCGGCTAACAGTTTCAACTTTAAACAAAGATCATGACAGAATCTTGACACATCTTTGGCCCCAGCTCTTGGAGGCTTTGTATCAGCTACGATCTCAGCCTACTTCGCTTCTCCCCACCTCCCCGTGTTCCGCCCTCCTTGTCGCACGGTCCCTGCGTGGAGACGCAGGTCACGGTGCACTTCGCGGCCGAGGGCGAGCGATGGACCCACGACTTCGAGGTGCCTCAGGACGCCCAAGTCCGAGAGCTGAAGGCCGGCCGCCACACGGCGCGGAGGTATCTAACCGGATGCCCGGCTTACCGATGGCCGGTGTAAAATGGATGAAAGACCCACAAGTGGGGAGGATCCAGACATTGTCAGATGGTGCATGAAGTTTCACTGTGGCTCGGATGTGTGGCACTTGGGTGGATTAGTGGGCAGGTCGCAGGAGGTAGATTCGCCAAGCATTGGGTCGGTGCTGGACGATGGGCGGGAGGCGGATGTTGTGCCATGCAACCAGCTTGGGGATGTTAAAGCCACAAGGTTTTGATCCACAGGTTGTCATAACGTTTTCTTGGAAGGCCTCCCTTCCCAAAAAGTTCTAGGATTCCCCATGCCCGGTCGATATTTTGGCCGCTCAGACAGGTTTGGGTTCGGTCGCCCTGACTTCCTAGATCGTTCCTCGGTTTAATCAAAATCATGTCCATGTTGTTGCATAACATGAGGTCCAAAGTTTCAAACAATAATGACATTCCTGTTCCTGTTTCCTATCATTAGGTCCAAAGTGGTTGATAGCAATGAAACAACCCAAAGAGTGCCAAACAAATCACCCAACCGATTGCAGGACCGGTTGAGCGAGCAGTGGATCCTTTGAGCCTTGACGGAACACGACCCGAAGCGATCGGAACCCGCCGGGCACAGGCCACCATGCTGAACCCGCCGGGCACGGATGAGGAGCGCTCAAGAGGAATGGCACCTGACAGGTGATGTGGGTGACACTTTCGATGTTTCGTCTGGTGCAATCGACGTCCAAAGAATTTGACCAGAGATCGACGTCCAAAGCGGATCAAACAATTTGTGCGTCAACGCAGGGCATGGTGGAAAAAATCGAGAACGCACTTGACCCAAAGACACAAGATACAATTCGTGGCCGATCTTGGCCGAACGGAGGACCCTTTTTTTCCCGGAGACAGACCTTACCCCGCCTGAAAACTGGTTTCTAGCAAAAAAACGTCTTCCAGGTTGCCATTCGACCCGGGTCCATTGATTTTCGTTGAGTGTTTTCGCCCCTGGTCGAAATGGACATCTTTGGCCCTTCATCCGCGCCAGACTGCGAGGACATTGACAGCTTCGAGCTCAGGCCCTTTCCGACCGCGTCTCCACGCGCCGCACGGAGCCGCGGAGGGCGTCGGCGTCACCGGTCGTGCCGGGGGCCAGGCTGTTGGGTCGTCGGGTGCCGGACTTCGAGAAGATCACCCAGGACACCGCCGAGGTCCGGTGGGGAAGGAGGTTTTGACCCAGATCCACATGTATTTGTTGGTCGTCAAAACAGAATTATAGAGCGGAATTGAAAAGTATTTGGTGCAGTTAGCGAATTCGCGCTTGGAGGATCATGTTGCAGAATTTTATATAGCGCGCACAAATGTCCTCTGTTCTGGAGGCTTTCCTTTTGAACACAGAGCTTTTGATGTGATTTATCCTCATTTGAAGGCCTTGTCCCTTTCCTGAGAGTGTGCTTTCCCGAGGTCAAAGGCGGTGGGCTCAGAAAATAATCATAGAACGGGCCATGTGGCTACTATGTGTGAATGAAGGAACCGTTAATTTTAGAACAGACCAGAAAACAACTGCAACCCTCAAATTTGAGGCCTATTTGAGCAACATGAACCTGCATGACATGCAGGAATCGTCATCGTTAATTATAGAAAACCCTGTGCAGTTGAATCCCCGGATACTTTTCCTCCTCCATTGCGTTCTACAATTCTGTGGGCGACTGTATTCCTAGGGTTCCAAGTACCTCCTCAGAAGGTATTTGGGTTGAGGAGCCGGAGATTGGAGAAGGTCTGAGGCTTTTGACCAAATGGGGACCTCCATTGGCTGATCTTCGGATGTAGGAGGAACACGGAGGGGCGGGAAGTGGATGGAAGAGGTCTCAGAAAAAGGATCTATATATACTTTGGAGTATCATCGGCAGCTGCACTGTACATTAGTATATAGTGGAGTGCTTTTAGTGGCTGGACAACTGTTGCATCGCTTGAAAGAGACTACACAACAGTGCTACAACAGTGCGCAGGATGATCTATATACTGTATAGAATATCACATGTATACAGATGATCATGGACTGAATCATGGCTGCAATGGCTCATAGATGTTGGATGAAGTATCAGTTATTGGGACTCAGAGTGCGGACTCTGTGTCAGACTTCGTCACCCCTTAGAAAAACCCTGGGGGACTTCGTCTCCGCCCACGTCTCGGAGGATTGTGACCTGGACTTCGAGTTTTTGGGCCCTGTGGAAGGTGAGAGGAAGGCTCACTATGACGGATGGAGACGGATGTTGCTGTTTTTTGATTGTCTTTTTTCGGTTTTTGAGATGTGTTAAGCACATGTTGAGATGTTTCCTTTTTTCAGTTGCGACCTTGCCAGTGGGGCACCCGCTGCGAGTTTGGGGACATATGTGACTCTATGCCTGTGAAAGAAGCAGTTGGGATTTGGATGGAAAAGCGACGAATGGAGAGATCCGGCGGGCGAACAAAGGTCAAGACATGGACATGGCGTGGAAAGGGTTCCTTTGATATGTAAGTATATCCTTAAAATAGCCTTTCTTTGGTAACTTACGTGCCGTTAATAACTTGTTATATCACTTGTTCTTCAAAATGACCATTTGATCCCCTGGTTTCAGATCACTTATCCGTAAAGGTCACTTTGAAGAAGCTGGTTAAGCTGTCTTTGTTGAGAATGACACGGTCAAGACATGGTACCCCAAAGACCGTCCAAGTCGCTGCCATGTGGGGTGCAATCGACGCTTTGGGCCGGCCGCATGATGCCACATGTTTGTGGGTTGAATTTCCTGTCGTCTCGAAAACATCTTAAAGCAATCTAAAACATATCCGTCCATCTGGAGAAGATGCCAGGATCCGAACTGGACCCTTTCCGGCTGCGCGAACCGCTAGCGTTACCCCTTTCGCCAGGCGCGCCGAGACAAAGCCGATGAACCTCATTGGGCAGCTCTGCAGCTTCCACAGCAGGAGCAGTTTCATCTCGTGCCCGAAGCAGGGGGTGTTTTGAGGTGGAGCAAGGGCGCTACTAGGGGCTCCTGGCCTTACTACTAGGAGCAAGGACGCCACTAGGGGCTCCTGGCCTTACTACTAGGAACAAGGACGCTACTGGGGGCTCCTGGCCTTACTACTAGGAACAAGGACGCTACTAGGGGCTGCTGGCAGGAGACCCGGGGCACCAAAACAGGAGACGTCTAGAGAAGGATGCTGATGGGGTGTTGGCTCCAAGAGAGATTATCAAGGACAAGTTACCCTTTCTGACCATGCACGTGTGTTAGGACTGTGTTGCGTTACACTATTGCTTTCAAGCCAGAGTTGAAGCTGTTGCCATTCTGCCATGAGAGCCATCTGCGGGAAGTGGACATGATGCTGTTGGCTCGAAGGAACTATGCTCCTGAATTGAGTTGAATATAGAAAGTCATCTTCAACCAACCAATTTTTTCTGTTTTTAAAACCGAGCAACCAACTCCCTCACCCAGACTGAGATGTCTTGTAACGAGGAGTACCTCCGTCATCCTTGTTCGGTCCAAGCGCATCGACCGCACCGCGACGCACCGACCATCCCGCGGCGCCAGGAGCCTCCCTTCCGGGACAAGTCCCTCATGAAGGAGAGCCGTCCGAGCCCGCTTCGAGTTCGTCCGAGTTCGACCGCAGCGTTCGGATCTGGACGGAGGTCCAGGTTCGATCCCTTTCGTCCGGATTTGTACCAGGTCGAGTCTAGATGCATGATGTGTCTTTTTTTGCAAACAAAGGAAATTCAAGGACACATGAAGCTTTTTGCAGTGGACTTGTTTGGCACTTGGATTTTGGAGTTCCGTATTGGCACATTGCTGGGCAAATGGGATTGCCAGCCACTCAACCCACAACGCCACATGAAGCTGAATCATCAGGTGCCGGTGTGGGTCCAAAAAGAACGAGTTTTTGTCTGTAAGAAACCATGCAGAGAATCTGGTTGAAGTGTCTTTTGTTGTTCCGAGATCTGTATAGAATTCATGTAATTACGGTACATTCTTTCACTTCTCCGCCTCCCACCAGTCGTGGCGGCCACATCCACGGGCTTCTTGAGGCTCCAATGAAGCCCAAGACCTCCAGCGTTGAGGCAACCAGAAGCGGAGAAGTCGGGCTTTGCGCTTTGGAACTGGGAAGATCACCATGAAAAAGCTTTGTGCCGGTGAAGAAGACTGGGCTTTGACTTGGCTTTTCACGACGGATGTGTAAAACGATGGCGCAGTTTCGAGTCGTTTCGAGTCCTGATCAAGAACGTCACAGAGTGCTAAGCCACGGAAAGCTTGATCACATCTCTGTCATGGAATGTGGAAGAGTAATCAGAGAGAGAGAGAGAGTACTACGGTCTAGGGCTCAACCGGTTCAAGTGTGTGGCAATTACCACTCACAGACGACATGCTGTTCGTTTCAGGGTTTGCACCCCGGTCCCTACTTAGGAGGGATCATCACCAGGAAGGTTGAGATCTGTGCGAGGGTGGAACTAGGCGCTGTCTAAACTCGAGCAGCTCACTAACGCACTGTAGAGGGTGTGACTTAGGTAGAGCTCACTAACGCAGCTGCGTAGCCTCCGCAAGATCTTGAATTTGTCTACCACTTCTTACATTGACAGAAGAAATGCAGAACCAACGCTGCTGTCGCTGCAGGACGAAACTATCGAATCTCACCTCACTTGGTCGGTTGCGAGATGTGCACCAAAAGAGTATTGAGGACCTAAAACGCTGACCCGATGAAACAGGTTGCGTTCCGCAGAGAATATGGTTCGGCTGTTTCGCAGACCTGGTCGTCCCAGGAAACACTGGACGGATACTTCGCTTGACCTGTGCTGGAGTAAGACCCACAACACTCCTTTTATCAACTCTGTGAACCAACAAAATCAGTTGTTTGTCGAAGCTCGAGCGCAGAATGTTTTAGACTATCCGCCATTGAAAGGCGGTCGTCACAGTGCCATCAGTGATTCTTCGTTGCCACGGCTTTCACCCAAGTTCCTGATGAAGTTCTTTGTCTGTTCCTTCACACAGTGGGGGTGCCAAGGGAAGTACTTTCCTCGGAGGCGCTTTCTTTTTTCACCTCCCAAACCCATGTCACCTACCCCGTACCCATTTGTTTTCCGTGTGCCTTGGCAGTGGTGCACCAGTCTCACACGTGTGCCAGGTGGCTGTGGAGGCACGGTGAGAGTCTTCGCTCTGACATGAGGATGACCAGGTCGCAGGAGTACGAGTTTACTCGCTGCGGCGGTCGCTTCTGGTCTTCTTGGTTTGGTGCAAATGTCGATGCCAGTCTTAGACGATGTGGATGTAAGTCCTGGAAACCTACCAGTATGTTTGGTAGTCCACTGTCATCCCCAGCTCGGCCCCCTTTACCGAGGAATGCATCCCAATTTGATCCAATAATCCTATATATAGAGAGAGAGAGATAGTGTTTGCTTGCAGCCATAATACCAGAACTGCTGCAATGGACACCCAACACTGCTGAGAACTTGTGAAGGCCATTCGTGCTCAGCCGGCCAAGCGACCCCCGCATGCCACTGAGAAGGCACCATGGGGTGATTGAGGTGGTTGGATGTAGATGCCCACTGAAACGGGTGGAGGGTGACCGGTTGAAAGATTGTGGGTGAATCTGTTCCTTTGCAAGGTTTGAGGGACTTGATTTAAAATCATATTATTATATACTTATAATCTTATATAATATATACTTTAGAGAACATGTGGAAGGTTTTGAAGATCGTTTGGAAGGTCTGGGAGGGTTTGGAGGTATGAACACCATCTATGGGTTGGGTGTTTCTTGTTGGAGTTGCATCACGAATCACCCATAAAGAAGTCCTTTCAGATCTGCTGGTAAAGTTCATGGTTATGAGCGTCCTTGCTCCTAGTAGCGATGCCCTTGCTCCTAGTAGCTTCTTGTTACTAGTAGTAAGGCCAGGAGCTACTAGTAGCGTCCTTGCTCCTAGTAGCGATGCCCCTTTGTCATCCAGACTTGTTAGCATCTCAAACGCATTCCAGCTCACTGTGGCGACCAAAGCTTGCCAAAAATGGCGGAGACCAGATGAAGCGATCAAGACACACGTGTCCGAACGTTCGGGAAGTGGGTGAGGGAAGCTTTCGTTTTGCTTTCTTGAACGTAATTACAAGGTCTTTTCTGCAGGTTCTTTGCTTTCTCCAAGGTTCTTTCACACACATCCGGTTTTGCTGCTGGTTTGGATGGGCCTTCCGGACATCGGACGCCTTTTCGTCCCTCCCGGACCGCGCCAGGGCCCCATGTCGCCGGTGAAGCGCTGGGAAGTCATCGGCGGCGCCGACAAGGGAGGCGGGGGCGATGAGACCGCGTCAACGGACTCACTTTTACGAAGCAGTGGAGTGCCACTAACAAAGGCCTCACTGGGTGGTTTTTGTTGCGTGGTCTTTCCGATATAATCTTCCAGTTTCTTTTCAGATGAAGAGAACTGCGATGAAGCGATACTGGCGATACTTTGCAACCCTGCCATAGAACTGACAGATCTTCTTGTGGTGGCACACAGTCCCAAAGTTTGTTTGAACCATTTTGAACTTGTTTTTTCATGACCAGAAGGAAGACATCGCTATGAACATGCTATGGACTACGGACTCGGCTCTCCCCACAATTGGTGCTGTGGAAGGGGTGCCAGTCGGATCGGCACCGGCCTGCGAGGCATCCTGGTCCGCGAGGGCCAGTCGACCACCTCGAAACAACTGGCCGAACGCTTGTCCACGGGCCACTCCGACGGAAGGAGTGGACATCGGATGAATCCACGAGGGCCAGCAGAATGGAGGAGTGGATTCATACGGTCACTGCTGCTTTTGGGATCCCTACAAATTGTTAGAGGATACGGAGGATACCTTGTGGAAGCCACACAGAATATCTCATAATGAACTGGAAACTAGAGCTGAAGGATATCAGTCACTTGGAGGTGATTAATCATTACAAAATGACCTGGTCGAAGAGATAAGTAGGACACTTGACTTGTCGGATCCTTGTGGTGGTTTTGGTATTTTGCCGTTGGTTCAATCAAATGCCAGTGTCATTGTCAAAGTTTGTGTGTATGTATACACCCGCTCATGATCCGTGCAACTAGTAGCGTAACTATATATATATATATAGTACGAAGATTCTCTAAAGCCAGCAGCACAAACCCTCAAAAACCGCAGGTGCTCCCGCCATCGCACATGGGTTTGACCACAGCTGCACAGCAGCTGTATTTGCGTTGGCTTCAACCAAGGTGCCTTCGTGGAAGAGCTGGATTTGCGCGGCGAACGTTTGAATTACAAGAGGTCTCCAGCTGAGCTTTCACTTGACGCGAGCATAGCTCTTTGGATATGAGTGGCGTGCCTGAAACCCGTGAATGGTCAAGACCCCAGCTATGAGATGGTTTCAAAGGATTGTAACATGAAGGAGCCATGCCAGAGCAACCGCCCAGCCCGAAGAGGCTTTGGCATGTAAATGTAACATTTCCCCACGAAAGATTGAAAGCAAAAACTTGTCACAGCAGCAGCCCGGCTGCTCTTTAAGCAAGAAAGACAAGGTAAGCTAACACCTGGGAGCCCAGGCAAAAACCACGGTATGTGCGGTTGCTGCTCATAGTTCCAGGTTCCAATTGGCTTTATTCCACAAACAGATCTGTGCCAAGGCTTACAGGGACCGGCCCTGAGATAGGCGGACCGGATGGTGCCGCAGTGGGCCACGGAGGAAGAAAAAACTTCTTGTTACTAGCAACAAGGCACCTTAATACTAGTAACAAGAAACTACTACTAGTAGTAGCTCCTGGCATTACTACTAGTAGCAAATAGCATCAAATAGCTACTAGTAGTTTCTTGCTACTACTAACTAGTAGTAATCCCCTTGCTGAAAGACATCCATACGTTGTCCGAAAAGCGGGACTTGTACGTGCTTTTTTGTGGGTCACATCGATGAAGAAAGGATCCCCCCAGTACAAGACAACTAAATGGTTTTGTTGAGCTAAACAGTGAGAGCAATCAGGGTGGGCCCCAATCAATCAGCATGGATGACCATCACAAGGGCACTCGAGAATGTTGGTGCAAGTCTGGCTGTTGGTTCTGGTCTCCGGAGTGCAGAAACGCCGGTGCTTCTCCACGCAAACGCACGCGTGCATCGCTCCGTTTCGATTGTTCCCGCACCGCGTGTAGCGGGCGTCGCGCGTGCTTTGTCGCATGGGTAGACATTGGGTGTGTCGGTGTATCATCCCATGGCCTGTGTATCGGTGGATGCTGATGGTTTGATCATCAAGGCCTTTTCTCCAAAAACCGACCGATGGTTACCGTCGATCGACTATTACAGGTCATGGGACACACACGAGGTACTGTAGACATTTCTTTGGTTTGGGCTTGCTTGTTGGGAGTCTAACTGATGTTCCCCTACTGACGGCCTTCCATTCCCACCAGGCTGGGTCAGCTGGGGCCTCAGCTGCGTCAGCTGGGTGCTGCAGGATGATATCAACATGGGATTTGGGTTTGGCTCCATGGCATAGGCCTGATTACCTCCGCTTTTCCAGAACCATAAAGGTTATCATAAAATGATGCCAAAAACGACGTAATGGAAAAAGAAACACCTCTTTGATTTCTAGCTTCAGGCTGAATGTGAAAGTCACAAGCAAAGCGATTTAGAAAGCCTCCACTCCCTTGAGACATTCTCATTCAACAGTGTCGGACTGTTGCAAGCAAGACATCCTCCCTTGAGGCTTGACTGTCTCTGGCAAGGCCGAGTTGACTTGGCAAAAACTGGCCGCCAGTCGGCTTGGTTACTATTTGTTTGTTGTGCTCTGGTACCAGCTGGGCTTGGCGGGATTGAGCAATGAATCGAAGAGAGGTTGGTCGCACACGTCGCAGTTGTGCAGTGATACGTTGGTCAATGCGCAACTAAGACGTTGTTCCACATGTTTGGAGCTGATGTTGTAGGTAGTAGAGGAGGGTAGAGGGCCTTTGATGGTTGAGAATGCCGAGAGCCTAGCTTGGAATCTTAGATCATCAGGGAATGGCGAGGGCCTGCGTGTTCGGTGTTCAGTGGGTCGGACCTGGGCTGACCTAACTGACAACATGTTGATTGGCTACAAGCAGGTCTTTCCGTGAAGCAAATGTCCAGGTACTTTCAGGACAGTCGATTCATACAAATTGGGACCACATGACTGTCAGGTCTTCAACAAACTGAACTTGTGTATTAAGCCGGTGCAATAGTCAGGGACACAAGTTGTTTCAAGCGATTCCTATGCTTGAGGACGTAGTTTTCGAGACATTTCGGGTTGGTCATGAAGCTTCTCAACCCTTCCATTGCACACCTGAATGTGTTGTAGTGAACTCCCGGCCACAATCCTCCTTTTGACAAAACCTCATGTCTTCACCATGTCCTTTGATTGGCTTCTTCTGATGGAGCCCCTCCCCCATCACCCAACAGGTCAGCATGAAGCAGGTCAGCGCTGCTTCCCGGTCAGGAGATTGTGAAGCCGTCGCCCATGTCTCCAGAAGAGATGCTCACGTCCGCTGCTCAGGGGAGCCTCTCTGGTCACACGAGCGAAAGGTCACCAGATGAGGTTGAGTCCACTGGTCAGCCATGTCTGGGTCGCACCAGACAAAGGTCGTGGTGAGAAAGCAAACATCCGCAGTGTAGGAAGGTGTTTTGGACGTCAGAGATGTGTTTGTTTCTTGCAAATCAGCAGGTCACTGTTGCTTGTCATTTGCCAGCCAATCAGGGGGCGTAGTCTCGGATAGACTTTGAACAGGTCTCACTAGTGATGTTTGACTGGATTATATATCCATCTATATATACTATAATAAAGAAAAAATCAGAGGTTGCGGGTGTTCGCTTCACTTCTCAAATTTGTTCGGCTCAGATGTTTGGAGTCTTCCGAGGGGTAATTAGAGGATTAGCACAGCTTCGGATGTGATTTTTAGAGGGTGGCAGCCATGCTAGTGGCTGCTAGTGATGATGTCTAGTTGTCGAAGGTGATGTTCCTCCCTCCCTCCCGGAAGGCTGAAATCGGCATGCGCCACTGATTTCTCCAAGTGACCTGTGGTGAGTCAAAGCATTCACTTGACGACAGGTCAGCCTTTTGGATCCTTTTGGTTCAGAGAGGGTTGTGCACGTGCCATCACACGTGACGGTTTGACCTTCTTGCTTGCAGCCTTTGTGGGCCATGCTCAACTGCAATCCTGAAGCCTTCTATAGCCTTCCATAGCCTTCCAGTCGGCAGGTTTTCCTGCGCCCTGTCCCTGCAAGAGGAGCTCATGGAGGGTTTCGGAAAGTGTGGTTTGCCCAGCGTTCCGGTGGAGTTTCGACAGAGACGGAGGTTCCTTTGCTGGGCCAAAGAATGGCCACTCACTTCGGACTCCGGTCTGGAGAGCGTTCCTTTGTTTAGGCAAGAGGACCCCTCGTTCCCTTCCGGAGGGTGGGCGAAGTGCCACGGACCACGGACCATATCATCGTTAGAGCTCGATATGGATTGATGAGAGGTTGCTTAGGTTCCCCAGGTGGTCGGAGGGGTTCTTGGCAGGATACCAATCCTCTGGAAGACTTCTTTTCATGGGGGGATGAAGCTGTTGCGGTCCGCGGGCGTTTTGGTGATGGTCCCAAAAAAATACGAAACGTTGGAAGGTGGAAGGTGGCTTCTTTGAGTTCAAAACGTCACAGAAAGACGTTCTGGGTTGTTGAAGTGGAAAAGATAGATGTCGAAGAGTATGGCTCACAGGACCTCAGCTTGGACACTGTTGGCCGGAAAACCAAGATAGACACCGTGCAAGGCGACACGGGCGGAGGCGACGTGCGTTCCGCTCAAGTCGCTCGAGGCCGGAATTTCAGAAAGCCTTGGCCAAGATCATCCAAGAGTCTCTTAACTCAGACCGTTTGAGGGATGAGTCCGGTGGTGCAAAACCTTGGGTGTGCACCATATGAACTTCTTTTCAGACCATCACGTGCTTCATCTTGTTTTCAAGTGAGGGTTCTTTTTGAATCCTAGAACTGCCGATTTGTTCTTGGTTCTCAAGGGGATGAGACAGATGAGCATGAAAAAGTAGACAAGCCAAATGGCATCTTCGAGACCCGGTCGCGGGGTGACCCGGTCGCGGGTTGTCGAGACCGGTCATGCTGGACATGGGAAGCCCAAAACAAAAGTGCCATGGTACTCAGCGCTCAGCACCGCTGCTTCGGTCTGGGGAACGCGAGAGGCGCCACATGTGGAGCCCGGCGCGATAGGTGCATTTCGTTTCGCCCGGGCGAGGCGCCATAGCATGCCAGGAGTGAGGATAGCATGACAAATCTATCTACCCCGGAAGAGTGGATATTCTGCCCAACCTTTGAACTTTGTTTAGGACTGGTTACCCAACTAAACAAGAACAGGTGGAAATGGTTCATCATTAGTCTTGATATATCTTGAATCTTGATTGATCCAGGGAAACTGACAGATATATGTGACTTGCTCCACTGGCAACTTCAGTCTTCCTCTTGTCGCATCGGATTCCTTGGAATCCGTGCAAACGGCGAGTGACTCAGTCATGTTTATCCATCTGAGGCACCCCAGCAAGACAGGCAGTGAGTTCATGCGAAAGCGCGCGGGCACCTGGCAATGCGCCACAAGCGCTTGTGGCCACGGTTTGGTGTCACATTCGACTGAGAACCTTCCGAGAGACTTGGAAAGTTCGCCCAAAAGCCATCAGAATGCCGGAGATATGCCAGGATATACAATCTGAGCGAATTATTGCGAGCTCACTTCGCGAGGTACGAGGTAGAATAATTTCAAAACAAAATTATGCGAGGTAAGTCCAGCACCAGGACTCCACCAAGCCAAGCAGCCTTCTTGACGTCTCAGGCCCTAGCCAGGCCTACTGGGTAAGGAACCTGTGCTGAGCAGCTCAAATAGGCAAGCCCCAAGAAACAATCCTATTTTGGCGAAATAGGGTTTCACGACTGTGGATTGGTGTGCAGCCTTATTGATGCTGTCTTAATCCCTAGCCAGCCCCACTAGGT